ATGGGAGCAGGGATTAAGCCAAGGAGAATAGGAATTCAAATGGAAGCGGCAGCCAGCAAAAGACCTAGTTGGTTAAGGGGTGTAGTTACAGCACCTATTAGAGAAATTTGGCAGGGCTGGTGAGAGGCCTCAAAGATGGTTGGGTCTGGGCATCTAAGCTACCTTCAACAGACCCTCTAGCAAATATATATATATATATCAACAGCATCCTCAACGTCTTTGAAAAACAGTGGAATTTGCTTTGAAGAAATTTAGATATTCCCCCCCCCCCTACGTAGGCTGTGATGGAAATTGGCAATATTTTCAGAGGAATCAGCTCTTCCTGCTTAAGGATGTGATTCAAAGCAAAAAAAAATCACCTCCTTGAATACGTGGTGTCAATTTCTGAGTAAAAATATTATTTGTGGGATGTGGCATGCATATTGATTAGGTGGTTAATTCCACAGAATTAAATAGTTCTCGACAGATATTCAAAATCGGAGCAGTAAACAGGTTAGGTTCTTATTCAGGTCTAGCTTCTGAAGTATATTAAAACGCAGTTTCTCTCTTCTTTATTTAAAATATTTGTATAGTCACCCATATTTTACCAAGCTCTGGCTGGCTGACAGCCAACTTTTCATCCATACAACTTGTCAATATTTAGGCTAGCTTTTCAAGAAGTTTGGAGCCCTGACTTGGCAAATCTTAAGACCAGATAACTAGGAATTAGCTTGTTTATTCCAGTAAAACATACTTTCAGTTTATGAATTGAAGGAATGAATACTGTAAGAAAAAAATGTATCCATAGGACAAAGTGGATCCTTTATAAGTTTACCGAGAAATAGTTTCCCAACTCATTTATTTGAATTTTTCACAGCCTCTCCTCAGATAGTTTAACACATTTTCTTCCAGCTAAATGATCTTCGGAAATTCAGTTATTTTCACAAATAGTTCCTTATCCCATAAATATATTTATTAGATGTTGTTCTCTCTTTTCTACGTCTAATAGATGTATTAGATGTTGTTCTCTCTTTTCTACATTGGCCCTTGACAGAAAGCCATTCCAAGCAAGGGAATTGAGAAGTGAAGGGGTTGGGTTTTTTTTTCAGTAGGGAGAGAAAAAGTTATAAAACTTCCTCTTTTTTTGCAGAAAAAAAAGATAGGGCTCATAGGGCTTAATTTGATTTCTAAAGCTTTTATCCCAGAAATGAATCTCCTTTTTGTAGCGACTAAATTCTGGCTAGGACACGGTTTATTTGGAGTATCAGAAAACAGCAATTGGATGGGTCTCTTGTTTTTTTTTCTTGTTTGTTTCTTGTTTTGTTTTTATTTTCTAGCATCTTTTATCACACTAGTTTGCTTTGTGTGCGTAAGCATACACTCTGAGCAAGATTGTTTAGCTCCTGGGGCCTCGTCCCAGATTCTCCAGATACAAGGAACTATGATACCCATCTTCCACAGCTGGTAGGAACAGGGTGACCAGATGGGGATTATACTTCCAGAGACGTGTAGATTATATGGGGATTGTGACGATGGGAAAATTCAGGAAAGCTTTTAAGATATCCCACAAATGATATAGCCGAACTTCTTGGTTTGGCCAACAAACCATAGGTGGTGAGAAACTTGAGCATCTTCTGTGCTGTAGGACTGTGACACCTGTTCAGCATCCCCTTACATAGTCAGGCAGGGACCCTTCCCCACAAAGCTTGTATTCCAACATGGCTGTCCATGAACTTAGCAGGATGACTTGGCATAGGAACAGTGAAGTTGGCGTGGCTAATTTTTGCCCCTCTTCTTTGTGGGCTTTTGGGTGCCAAAACTATATGCGCAGAGGTAAACTAGCAGCCTTTGTGGGGGTCCCTGGTGCTCTCTGAGCTTGCCTGCTTTCTTGCAGACGTTTCATTACCCAACTAGGTAACATGATCAGTGCTCACGGTTTGCTCTCTTGTTGATGTACAGGGGGACCCTTCCCCAGTTTTACCCCAGTTAAGGAACTGTCAGATCTTTGTATTAAGCAGTAAACAGTAGTCTATCGAGGAACCACGAAGAATATTCCCAGCAATACTATATAAACAGAGAGCAAACTCTACTCTTTTCTGATGATGTTACCTAGTTGGGTCATGAAAGGTCTTGTAAGAAAACAGACAAGCTCAAAGAGCACCAGTGGTACTGAAAACAGTGACTTATGCCCCTTTTTCATATGTACGACCGTGGCAGCATGCCTGTGGTCACGTGATCGAAATGTAGATTCTTGCACAGTGTCACGTGCGAGAACTTTAGCGACCTTCCGGCAAGCAAAATCAAACGGGGGGAGCCTGATTCCCTTAACAACCCCATTACTAACTGAACAATGCAGCGTTTCACTTAACGACGGTTGATAAAGTGGGGGAAAAACTCACTTAGCACCCGTCTTGCTTGGCGATGGTGGTATTGGGCTCCATTGCGGTTGAAAGTCGAGGACTTCCTGCGTTGGGTTGCCTCTTTGGGACGTTTTATGTGGTGGGTTCCTTACTGGATCTTCTTCGCCTGAGACGCCACTTAACGGAGGCCTCCTTTGTCTTCTTCTGTTCTGGCAGGTAGCCAGGTGTGTCGCCCACCTTTGCTGCACGGTTCTCTCCCTTGGCTGGATGGGAGCAAAGCTTTGGGAAGCCATCACGGAGCTGCACCATGGAACCTGAGTCCGTTCTCCAAAGCGCCCATCCACCACAGCTCGCCGGGACCTCTTTCGGTCTACCCTCCGGCCTCTACCTCCACTCTGTCTGCGGGCCACTCCAGCCCCCATCTTTTCACTTTCCCACCGACCCCTCCGAAAGATGTGTCTCCAGATCCTTCCATCTCCACCCCGGGCTCCACGGGGTCCAGCCGTCAAGAAGAGAAGGAGTGCATTAAATACCAGGTGTCTTTGGCCGAAACGATGAAGCTGGAATCCTCTCATTCTCGGAGCAACATGGCGTCCCTCGGAGGAGCGTCGTCTTCTGGTCATCATCCAATCGCCACTTATCCTTCCTACGTTCCTGAATACGGCTCTGGACTTTTCCCCCCGAGCAGTCTCCTTGGGGGGTCACCCACTGGATTTGGGTGCAAATCCAGACCCAAGGCCCGTTCCAGTACAGGTAGGGTCCTTCAAGGTTTCTTTCTGGCTTGGAAGGGGTGGTGGGTGGGGAAGAAGGAGATTGGATGGTGCTTCAGGACTAGAGACATGTTATCAGCGTAATGGAAGTCACGTTTTCATTTTTTTTGTTAAGGGTTAGGGGAGCTGTCACAAAGGAAGATCAGAGCCACTGGAAGATCAGACAGGAGGTTAAATAGATGCCTCAGAATCTGCTTTGTTCCCAACCCCACTTGGGTTTTATGCCATCAGGAAGTGAGTTTGTTTTGGGGAACAAAGATTCTGGAGTGTCTGTTTGACCTTCTGGGTTTGTCAACCGTGGTTTAGGGCTGAGGAACATGTCCTCAGTCTCGCTCAAAAAACCAGCATTCAACAAATGGCAACTTAGGGCAATATGTAAAGCTGGCCCATATTATGACACCTTTTTAGGTTCTGAGAGAATCTTGATTGATTGATTTGTATCCCGTTTTTAATATTTTTACAAATAACTCGAGGGGGTGAGCATACCTAATACTCTTTTTCCTCCTCTATTTTCCCTACAACAACCCGGTGAGGTGGGCTGGGCTGAGGGTGTGTGACTAGTCCAAAGTCACCCACCCTAAGGCAGGACTAGAACTCACAATCTTTTGGTCATTGGCCCAAACTCACCCACCCACCTTTCATCTCTAAGGTAGGACTAGGATCTCTTGGTGATTGGCCCAAAGTCACCCAGCTGGCTTTCATGGCTAAGGTAGGACTAGAACTCACGATCTCCTGGTTTCTAGCCTTGTGCCTTAATCACTTAAGCGCCTTAACCCAAAATGGCTCTCATGCAGCAATGTTGTGTGCATTGTGACATCCTTGCACCGATTACCTAATTTTCCTCACTTGTGTCAGTTGCACAATGAGGAAGATGATGTCACTTGCTCCTCTTGGATGCCGAAGGAGCACACTTACTCCCACGTGAGAACTGGGAGTTCTAGAAGTAGAAGCCAAACCTTTCCCAACCAGGTTGGGAAAGCAAAGGAAATCTTATTTGAGGAAATGCCTGTCTGCCTAGGCCAGGGGTAGGCAACCTTGGCTCTTTTATGACTGGTGGACTTCAACTCCCAGAATTCCTGAGCCAGCATGGGGGAACTATGGCCCCTTCATGACTCGTGGACTTCAACTCCCAGAATTCCTGAGCCAGCATGGCTCAGCTTGGAAACCTCTCCCTTTCCCCTCAGCATGGCTGGCTCAGGAATTCTGGGAGTTGAAGTCCACGAGTCATAAAAGAGCCAAGGTTGCCTACCCC